ACACGTCGGGCAGGAGACTTTCCTCCAGGCTGTTGAAATGAGAATTGTTGGGGAGGGGTGGGGGTACAGAAATTAGAGTAGTAACTCACCAGAGTCAGCAAATTCTGAGGGGACAGTAGGAGAAAAGAAAGAGAGGATGACAGAAGCAGAGAGAACATAAATCCAGGTGATATTGGAGAACAGTAAATCATTGATTCCAGCTGTGTAGGAGCCCCAAAAAAAAGGATATGTGGTGACCTGTAACTGCCGTGCAGAGAAACAAATTCAGATCATAAAAATAAGAAAATAGTTCATAAGGAGTCGCAGAGCTGTGAGGAAGGGGAGAGATGCTGTTATAAATGCTGTTAGGAAGCATGTTGAAAGACCATTTTAACATTGCAGAACAAAAACACATTGGTAATGAGATGGCTTTTGATTACCCACCACATCACTTGTAAGTATGTCAGGTGTTGACTACACTTGAGTTCAAACAATTTACCTTTTGGGGTCATTTTTATAGTTATCATTCTTGTTGTAGTTCGATGCATGTGAGAAATAAATATTTGAGCCGAAAATAATATGATAAATGGGAAAAATACTTTTTTGCTTTATTATCCAGAGTTAGAGGAGATGACTGAAACCACTCTCGTGTGTAACAAGAGGAAACAGCTAGCCTGGGTTTGTCAGAGCAATAGCACATATGTATGCTAAGCTAAGCTAAGCTAACCACCATCTGGATATAGGAGACAAAATATCTATACACTTTAGTATCACAATATTATGCCTTGTGATGAGGTTTCGATTCCAAAAAAATACACCAACATTTTAAATGAATAGTTAGTATGCATAGGTTTGTTGCAGACAGTGGGTCAGTTTGCACACAAATTACTGCCATGATGGTAAATGTGACAGTTATAATTGTTTTGATTGTATAACAAATCTGTGTGAGCTCATTTTAGTATGACAATTGTTCTAAATTAAATATATTGCTTTGCTTATGGTACTGTAATATGTCACAACATCATGATATGTATGACATCGAGAGTGGTATTAATCTTGTAATCCATGTCCAGTGAAAAAGCAATTAAGTGTATGTCCCATATATATTTTTCACACACATGCCCGCCCCCCCACACACACACACACACACACACAACACACACACACACACACACACACACACACACACACACACACACACCCACACACACACACACACACACACACACACACACACACACACACACACACACACACACACACACACACACACAGAGACCCACACTGTCAAGATCTGTCTTTATTGTATTTTGTCTTGTCTTTTTCTGTCTTTTGTTTCATGTTTTATTTTGAAAGGTCTTCACCTCCTGTCTTGCCTGTTTCTGTCTGTGTTGTGTTTTGTCTTGTCTAGATCTGTCTTTGGTTTTCTGTCTGCGTTGTGTCTTGTCTTGTTTAGATCTGTCTGTGGTTCCCTGTCGTTAGTTTCCCTGGTGTGTCTAATTTACCCGATTGTGTGCACCTGGTGTCCCTGTGTTTTCTCCTCCCTCCTCACCTGTGTCTTGTTTGTATAATTAGTCTTGTGTGTATTTAAGTTCTGGTTTTTCTGTCTGTCTTTGTCAGTTCGTCTTGTGTTTTGACTTGGTCTTCGGTGAGTGTTCTGTTCTGTCTTTGTTTCTAGTATAGCCTTGAAATAAAGGAGATATTTTTTGACACTTAAATCTGCATTTGGGTCCTGCTTCCTGCACACACCGTAACACACACACATTCATTTAGGTTTATTTTACCCCAAAACAGGCCGCTGTTGAAAAATAAAATCTCCCAATTGTGTTACCACTAGCTAAAAGGACGATGTAGTGGGAGGAAAGTATTTTAATGTGCTTGTTGGAAAAGTGTTTAACCCCTATAGGCTCAAACACTCTAACCGCCCTCACTCTGAAAGTCTGACAAATGTAATAAGTTCCCAGCCCAAGCAAAACAACCTCAGACTCTGCTTCGGCTCGGAAGCGAAGGCGACTTTATTTTGAGAAATGGTCATAAAAAATGTATGGCTTGAGTCCTGCCGCCTTCCCCCCCGACAGCCCAGCTGAGCTACACTTAAAGCAGAAGAGCACGCAAGGACAGTTAGCACCGCCTCTCATAGATTCAGCTGCCATATCCCGGATAAAATGTGGTTTAGCATTAATGACATCAGGAAATGTGCATTGTACACGATCACACCACGTCTCGCCAATATCATTACGTTTTGCTGGATGTGTGAAGACGACCCACATGGACATTTCTACATAATCAGCCCAAAGTGTTGCTTTTGTTCTTTCTGGTAATGAATTCAATCTTCCCGTCATGTCACACTTTAGTCGTTGCTTCAGTGCATTTATTTCCAGTCAGTATTTTTTGCCAGAAGACTCATCAGTCAAATGTGATATAACATCTTGGCAGAATCAAAAAACTGAATTTTGAATCCACTCAAAAATAACACAGTATATGTATTTTGATGTTTTTAGATGCTTGGTGGGATTTGAATTCCAAACCCAAATGCTGTCTTTCATTTTCTGCCGTCTTTTAATCGTCGTGCTGTCAAACAAGCAGTAAATATTTCAGTGTACAATCATTATGGCGTGTTAGAAGGCTTTAAAGGAGGGGCAGGGTGGAGTATTTACCTGCTCTCCGGCACATATACAACAGGCAGCAGCAGCCTCTGATTTACATTATAATCTCCGAGATGGAATACACTCAGAGTTGATGCATGTTAATGGACACTTTAAGGCCCATCTCGGCAACGCTTATTAATCTTTCCTGAGCTGACTCATTCTAGGTTTGGCTTTTAAGGAATGTATAGTCATTTTCAGAGAGAAGACATCTGCTAATGAGGTCACATCCATCCAGAGGGGAAATATTCAGGCTGGTCATTGTTCTGAGCTTAGAAATAGGCTCTTCCCATATGTTGTTTATTTTCTGTAGAACCACCACCACTGATGCTTTTAATCCAACGCCACGCACTGTTAATACATTACTATGGAAACTCGAAGGGGAAAAAGGAATAAACACCCATATTAGTCAGTAAACAGGAATTAGCATTCAACATTAATATTCATATTTTTAAGCCTTAGGATTGATCGTCATAAGACCTTTCACTAAACAAAGACCCTGATGAGACATTTTTCTTTCCCCTGGTCTCACAGCACCATTAACATATTCCCCTCCGTGCCGAGCACTGACACTGCTGTTTTACATTTCCTTCAGCTAAGCTAATAGGCCTTGATGTTGGATTAAAGTAGAATGATCTTCCACCTCAGCTCTGACACAGCACCGCACTCCCCTCGTCTCTACGGATAGGCTATTTTAAAGAATAATCATTTCTGTGTTGGCACATAGGTGCTAGAAGGACAAAATGTTAATTGTGGAAACGGCAGATGCATGGATAAAAGTACATTTTCTATTTGAACTGTGGACTAAATTAAAACTTTGCCAGAAACAACATATGGTGCTGCCAAAAAATTAGGTTCAGGATATGAACATATGTTATGTGCTTAGTTTTCTGACAGTAAAGGTAATGGATTTTTGGATTCCATTCACATCCAGTACATCTGAAAGAAGTTTTTTAAGAGGAAAAACCAATTGTCAGATGTATCTTTGAGGAGTTTTCTACGTGTGTGCCTGACTTACCTTCACTTAAAGGGTCCAACGTGTGGATCATGAGCTGGAAGATGCTGTTCCTCATCAGGCTGTTGTGCAGGGAGGCGGAGCTCCCCCCCCTCTGAAGCCGAGGCCGGGCCTGTGAGAGGAGAAACACGCTGTCAATCAAACGTCCTGCTGCAGCAGACTGGTAACACTTTCTATTACGGCCACATCTGTAATTATGCCTTAAAATGCGTTATAATCTCTTTATAGCACTGTTTAATATTCATAATGCTTTGAGACAATAATCACAACAGGATATAAAACGTCAAATATTGTAATATGTCATGACTGCAGGTCACTCACAGAGGGATCAGCATCTATTATATTTCAAGTTGTTGGAATAATTACATTAATAATGTGTTGTTATAAAGCATTATGAACAAATATAAGTGCTTATAACTTTAACTGTACTGTGCAGATTATAAAAATAATGTGAGTCTTGTTAGTATGCATCATAACATAAAACGCATATTCTAGCATATCATAAGTATGTTTATAACGCATAATAGACATGGGTGGCATAAAAAGTGCTACCCAGCTTTTAACCTCAATAATAAATAGCTATCTTTATTCCAACAACTAGTTCTTATGTCTGTCATGAATCAAATATTCTGATATTAACATCAGTCTATCAATTGTAAGCACTTTACTCGAGCCATTAATAATCCCAGCTGTCTGGAATATTATTCCCTAATCCTCTTTTGCATAAAACCTCGCAGCATCGCAGTGTAACTATCGTAAAGTGCCTGGGCTTCTGAAAAACAGAGTTACGAATCCAAGCCAAGGTCACTCCAGCAGTTTGGGCTGAACTTTGGGACATGTGGCGTCGTTGCAGGCGGCAGCTGTTTGGAGTGAGTCCGCTTTTGGCTGCGCACAGTTGAGGAGTAGGAGGTGTGAGGTGCTAATTCACAGGCCTGTATGGGTGTGAACGGGAGGAAGGAGAGACAACGCTTCGCCGTGCCACCGGGAAGACTCCTTCTGCTGTTCAACCTTCGCAATCCTGGTGAAAGGTTAACACTCTGGCATGCTTTTCTCAGGAAGTTTAACAGCATTAAAAAGAGTCTTGTAAACACATGCTTCTTCCTCGGTTGTCTTTTGCATGCTGCGTGCAAAGTGTAAGTGTTGTAACAAGGCTTCAGGAAACAGAGGGGGAGCTACTCTCTGAAGGCCAGGGATAACAGTGTACATGTCTTCTTCACAGTATGGTGGGGAGAAACACAAGCTACATCTACACAGAAAACGGGGACAAACACAGAAGCAGACGGGAAGAAGAGTGTCAATCAGACCAGACCTACCGACAACTTGCTTTCATCCTCTGGCGTCACAGGAATTGTCTTCTCATCCAACACAGAGAGAAGAACAAGTAGAAGGGGGGAGAGGGAGAGAAAGAGAGAGAGAAAACAGGACATAGATGTGAAGCATGCCGCACACAACCACACAGACAAGACGAAAAGACGCTAGAGAGACATTGCAGTTACAGTGATGTGACGATCAACTGTGATGTAAGAGGACGAGACTTGAGTGACAGATTCCTCCCCCCCCACTGTGCCTGCTGACACAGTCACTCACAAGCTGAGCAACATCAGATTGTCTACTTGGATTTCCTTGAAATACCCTCAAAAATAGCATTCACATATATTTGATATACAGTATTCCTATTTCACATGCAATGCTTATGTAACGTAAACTCAAACACGTTCACCATTTTTTTTTTTTCTTGATACCGGGGAGCTAGTCGACCATGTTTAAAGAAAGCAATTAAGAACATAGATTGCTGGTTGCAGCATTGCAACTGAAAACATGGAGAAAAAAGAAACCTGTGTTTCAACTCAATTGAAACTAAATAAGTGCCACTTATCAAAAAGCACAGTTAAATGCCGTATTTGTGTTATTGCATGAAGACGAAATATTGCAATGAATTTTGTTAGAGCTGTATCATTGTCTTTAATACAAAGTTACAATATCTACATGTCATAAAGCTTAAAGTTAAAATAGCCTAGTTTTGACTCGAGTGGTCTAAAAACTCTGAAACTTTGTGTCCGTGCTGCCAAATTTAACGCGATAACTTTGTGTGAGAGTGAGCATGTCAAAGCGAAGCCAGTCCTTAAACAATCCCTCAATTCTCTGCCATCTCATCGTGCCATGTGCAGCACTGTAACGTCTATTTTTGAAACAAACGCCTTTCACCAACTGCCTCACTAAAGGGCGCTCACTTCATCTCCAAAATCGTGTGTGTGTGTGTGTGTGTGTGTGTGTGTGTGTGTGTGTGTGTGTGTGTGTGTGTGTGTGTGTGTGTGTGAAATGACGCTGAAGGCCTCTGTTTCGAGGAACGAACACAAAGCTTTTGTTCAGATCTTTGAATATCAAGTCTTTGTTCACAGCCTACACATTTTTCGGAGAGGAGTTGTTCAAATGTGGAGGCACTGATGTGTGTTGATAAAGTGCACAATGCCAAATGAAATGCATAACATTATCCAGTTTGATCTTGTAAGGGTTTAAAACATTCAGGGCAAATTGACACATTTGAAGAAAGAGCCTTCAGACTTGTAAACCCTGTGATTCATTCGTATGCTAAATGACGCTGCACTGAATATCAAATCTGTGGATATGGAGCAGGAAGGAGGAGTGAGGCGTCAGCTCCGGCTCGTGAGGTGAAAGCTTAACATTCGTCCCAACATTCTGTATTTGAAAGAAGAACAATTATTGTTTATGGCTCCTTTTGTTGATTTTATGACACATTTAGCTAATCAAATTCACCTTGCCTTGAAATAACTTTTATTGGGAGCTGGTTTCCTTTTGAGAGAGAAATCATTATGAGTGTCAGTGTCCCAGTGTTTCTGTTTAACAACCTATACATTACCATACATTAGGGTTTCCTCTGTAAAGTGACGGAATAATTACAGAAATCAGGGAGCTGAAATTGGCCAAAAACGAAATGTAGCAGCTGAACTAATCCACACATTTTCCAGCGAGCTATTCTGCTATAACCTCATTTTCCCACCGTTTCATATCTTCTGGGTGATTCCCTGCACATTTGAGGTATAATAACTCTATTTAAACTCCACATCACCCTCCCTCAAAGGCAAAGTCAGGAGGGTTAGGAGGGAACAGGTGAACGTGCCAGATAGAGATTACGCTGCGGGCCGCTCATTAAGCCAACGTTAAATATTATGACTAATAATCACATGGGGAGATTAGTATGTTCTCCGGAGTTTGTGTGTTCCTCTAATACCGGCAGCTCTGCCTTCCAGTTGTTACGTAACGTTCCATCAGGATCATTCTTGGAAGAGGATCAGCTGAGGGAGATAAATGTCTCTCTGCAGCCGCATGCATGTAAGGCCGTGTAACAGGGAATTATCGATGGAGAGTGTGACATCATGCAAAAATACTTCCGCTTTCAACACTCAAATTGCCAACAGCTTAAACAGGGGGGAGAGGCTTTCGGAGAAATCTGGTGAAAAACGCTGAAAGCAGAACTGGTAGTCCAGATTTGAAAAACATCATCCGCGGATTATATGTCTTCAATTTGAGGGCACAAAGGGCTCTATTTCTGGATGGTACCATTTGCATTTCCTTTATGCTGCAACATCCAAGCCAAATTACACGGGAGAATAAAAAGCTTTTCTTACACTTTATATAGTTTGATTAAATCCATCATGATCCTTCAAAATCCTTAATATACTCCTTAATATACCCTGGACACATAAGGCGTGTGATAACGGTAATCAGTATGACATTACATAAATCTTATGAGCCACTTTTTGAATCACTTTCCCTTCATTTCCTTTGCAGGGCAGCTTGGTTTTCTGGCAGTTTGCCGGGAATCAGATTCCAATATCAAAATGTGGATTATATGAAAGCCAGGACCAAAATGTTATCCAACTTTAAAACCCAGCCTAAGTAAACTCTTACTAATAATTGTAGCTAGCAGCACTAAATCTACAATTTGCTCAATCTAGCAAGAAAGGGGCCTTTTTCCAAAGATACTCCCCCAAAATGATCATTATTAATTGAGTATTTGAACAGATATAATAACAATATTTCTAAAACATACTACCCATCCTAGCTTTAATAGTGTTTTTTAATGCTTGTCACAAGGAAATGTAGAGAGTAATAATGTACAAAAGCCAGAAATGAATCATGGACTGACGGGTGTGTGGTGACAAAAGTGACGTTACTGTAGATCTGAAGGCCTTGCATGAGAAATTCTGACGTATTGAAGCTGTAGTAGATGTGGATATTCTATAAATAAAGCATCTGAGAGCCTGTGTATGTAAAGATATGTGAAAAAGCTGACTTCATGTCTTGTTAAGCCAACTTGCAAAATGAAAGCACAGCTCCGGGCGTTTTTTTTTTTTCACTGCACGTGCTTACAGTAGGCAGCCTGTCCGTCAGAGCATGGCAGAACAGCCGTCGAGATTTGTCCATCTAGATTCATTCGTGAGAGCTAAACTGTTGAGCAGCACGAATGAGCGTCTCCCTCTCTCTCCCCCCCCCCCCCGCTTTGCCTGGAGACGATAATGATGATCTTCAAGGAAAGGAGGGGAAAAGATGCACAACAAGTCAAGAAGCCATCCACTTGCTAATTAGTAACCCCTTCATTTTTCGAACAAGCAGAACTAATTACAGGAGCTGCCACCACGCTGATTTCCCACAAGGCAACGCTCGCCAAGACTAAGCCAAAATTGCTTCCTCTTACTCCCATCCCCCCTCACCCCCACCCCCTTCCCATGAACCAATCAGACTTTTGGGAGTGAAATAGGGGAATAAAAAATGCAGTGTCATTTTTGCAAGTAAATGTAAATCACCGAAAGCTGTTAGATCAGGAACAAGACATTTCAGTCACATGTTCTTATTGTAAAGTCACTTTCTTCTGTACTACTGCTACTGAATCCTGACTGTATAAAAAGTTCCTAAAGTGATTTATCCACCAGATTCAATTTAGACTGTGCTTGTAATGTGTTAGCGGAGTAAACACAAGAGGTAGAATAATGACCGTCAGATCAGAGCCGGTTTTGATCTGTAAACAATAAAAGGTTGAATGGGGTGCTTTGTTTCTAAGATTTAACAAAAGTTCCTATCCAGGCATCTACATTTATATTCTGCCAGCGTGTCCACTGCATCAATCTCTACCTCAGAGGTTTTTTAGTTCGCCTCTCCTGCATGACCTGAGAGTTTTTATTAAAGTTATTTATTGTCTTTTTTCCCCGGTTCAGCTGTTGTCAGACATTTTCCTAACAGGGTAACCAGACCAAACTCAATCGCTGGCTCTACCGTAGTCACCCCGAGGCCACAGGATAGTCCTGGTTTTACCGGGTATCGACTATAGGGAAAACATGTCTACACTGTAACTCACAGTACAGTTCTCACTGTTCTCAGTATTGCTGTTGCAATGCCTTTACTGAGGCAAATTAGGGCTGGGAGATAGTTTATCGTCTTTTAAGTGAATAACATCAAGAGAAAATCACAGTATATCAAAATGTTGTTGGAGAATACTGTATTCAAATGTTGGCTAAAATACATTCTTAGTGTTTTTTTTCCGACAGCAGTGTGCAGGATTGTCTTCATTCATTCAGCCTCATTGTTTCACTCTGCGTGCCTCAACACAACAATTGTGCTCTGGGATTACCCCGGTGTAGTTAAATCAAACTATTGTACTAATCTGATTACTCTGTATGTGTGTCCATGCATGGAAACAGTGCATAGCTGGCTCTCTATTATTTATCATTTTGAGGTTTTTATCCATTAATCTTAAATTCTTCAATTATTTTTAAACTATTTAAAACATGCTTTATCATGATATATTTCCAGTTATAATCGGGAGATTTAATAAGCTATTCCTATGAACATCAATGAATGTTTGATTCTCTTCTCTGTCTCTCTTAGTGTCCCTGTGGCTAGCATGACTACCCGGTATGTATGCATTATGCACAGATGACGTTATGCATGACTTTATGTTATATAAGAGGCTGTAAACGTCCAGCTATTTCCACACACACACAGACATTTAGAGCCACTGGCTGCTGAACATGAAGGGAAAACAAACAAACCTGTAAACTGAACCCAGGATCCAGAGGTGTGCTGTGTGAGGCTGGCCAGCATCTCAGATCGTTGGCAATGTTATTAGTGAACAGGAACTCAGCCGTAACATGATAAGCAGCTCAAGGTAATGGCTAAGTAAACATTGCTTGCTCTGCAACCCTGGGCTCGTTTTGACACTTTCCTTAGACCTGATGTGCAATGCATTCTGGTACACATACTGTAGGTGCTGCGGGAACAGCTGGTGAAGGACGTTTATACTTTTAATGGACACAACGGTTTTGGTATGCTCGAGTTTTGCTTG